AGAGATGCCTGCCAAACTCGATGAATGATTAACCCTGTCTCGGCCGGACTCGGCCTCTATCTCACCCGGTTGCTGCCTGCCTCGGTGTCTGCACCAACCGGCCTCAGAGCCGTGTCATACAGAGCCCGAATCAGGCAGGCGCAGACCGCATTCGTCAGAGACACAGCACATCAGAAACAGTCCGACAGAGACGGGTCCTGCAAGGCGTCAGGTGTTGGAAATTTTGAAAAATTTCAAAATTTTAAAAAAATCAAAAAATGCTCGAAATTGTCTAAAAAGCGCACAAAACCAAAAAATTTGACATTCAAAATTTTTTTCACAATTTTCAAAACATTTTGGTTTTGTGCGCTTCTCAGACAATTTCCAGCATTTTTTGATTTTTAGAAAATTTTGAACATTTTTTTTTAAACTCTCCCCAAGAGATGCCTGCCAAACTCGGTGAATGACTAACCCTGTCTCAGCCAGACTCGGCCTCTATCTCGCCCGGTTGCTGCCTGCCTTGGTGTCTGCACCAACCGGCCTCTGCAAGGCCTCCGTCTCTGCCTTACGTGTTGTCTGCCGCACCAGAGCTTTTTAGAGCCGTGTCATACAGAGACCTGTCCGTGCAGAGACCGAGTCAGGCAGGCACAGACCGCATTCGTCAGAGACACAGTACAATTTTCCCCATTCTATAGCTATCAGAAACAATCACTGACACATGGTTTGGCGGGTGGTGGCGGATAGCGGGTGGTGGTGGTGGATGGTGGGTGGCGGTGTGTCAGCGCCACCTGCCACCACCCTCTGATATAGTTATGGTGATAATACATTAAATCAATGTTCCATTTACCAGGAACCTGAACAACATATACCACAGGATCAAACACATCTGGCTGGTCATCTGAGACAAATTAAAAAATTTGGCTGGTGAGTAGAAAGCTATTATATATATACCAGCATATGTTAAATACACATTTTGTAATTTGTAGTGATACATTCAGAAACTTTACAAGCATAATATCTACACATCTGGTAAATTAAGTTACCATTTTCTGACCCCTAGTTATACAATCACTCTTAATTATAAATAATATAATATATGTTCATCAATCAAGTGTCCTCACACAACTGATACAGCTTTCAGTAATGGCCCTTCTAGGAAAGTTTTCAGCAGGTGGCCCTCATATCAATGTTTACAGCACACAAGACCACAAATACATGGGCCTTCCATTCCAACTTCACATTAATGACAAAGTTGACAGCATGAGGCCCTCCTATTTGTAGGAAGGTCCACAGAAAGACTTGATGGCCTTGAATATATCATCCATCACTGCGGCTGGCTTAGTGAATTTCAAAGTGGGGCTGTGTGCATCCTGCTGGTCTTCAAGATCCTTTAGTACCTTCAATGCTTCTTCTACAGTAGCACATGCAAACAGTCATAAGGGAAAACTTTCTTAATCTTGTAATAATTATTTAGCTGTTCAAGAAGTTCTCAGCTAATACAGGATCCCATGCTTCATTAATGGACCATAATCTAATCTACTTTAATCCAATATACACCTTTAAATTGGGGGGAGTGGAGGTATAGCTCCTACTCATTCTTGACCTCGGCACTAGATGGGGATAACTTTATACTGTATTATTTCTTTAGTGAAGATGAAAGCAGCTTGTTCCTCAAAAATGCTGGTAACCACCTACAAGACTACACAGTGTTACAACCCAAAAGAAAATAATCTGAACTATCACATCTGTGCAAGTCACAGATTTAACATTTTTTAAGAGGTTTTGGTCTCCCATTCATGTTACAAGTTTCTTCCATCTCAACAGTCCCATTTTATTTCAACTATACTATACTAAATTCATTACATTTATGAAATGCACATAAGTTTTGAGAGTGTGGAAAGTGAGTGTAAAACTTAATTCTCGATAAACTGACAGCTATAAAAGGAATTGTTACAAACAGCCACCAATCACTGTCTTAACCCTTTGCAGTCTCTGTCGGACTGAGTCCGACATTTAAATATCCGAGTTCCAGTCCGATGTCGGACTGAGTCCGCCACATATTTTACGCATTTTTACGTCATCTGGAGTCAAACTGAGGTTGGCAAACAGTGTCAGCATATCATTCAAGCCTTCTGCTTTGCAATAGTTCTATCCAAGTTTTCCTGGTAAGACTTTGTGTACCTTATAATAGTGATAGGAGGCAGGAGAGTAAAGTCGTTTTATTCTGACACATGTCGAAGGAAGCCAGGATTCCACACCAAGTGTTTTGCCATACATCATATATTAAAGGAATACCATCGGGTGTGCAGTTGTCATATTTACTTAGAAGAAAAGTCTTTTATATCTGATAAAGTTAGAAACAAATATCCCATCTTCCTAATAAGAAATTCTATTTTTTAATTATTTATGGCGCATAGAGTAGTCTACCACTGACATGTGCATATTCTTTCATCTTCTTATCAAGCATTCTTTGTGTGTAGTGACTTCGTTTACACTTGCATTCTATTTCACTTTCCAGGTGTTGATCTTGGTCTTGAACTTTCGAATACAACCAACGCAAAAGAAGCACAACTCTGAGAATATGAAATCCAATGCTTATACATCGTATATCTGCATGCAATATGAGACGTTTAGACGTTGCCAAAGTCATATCTACCGACTTGGACTTGCTTTATTCTCTACCGAATGACAGGAAGCAGAAAGGCACCACTTATTACGCATCTCACTAGCGACAGTGGTACAGTCCATGAAAAAATTACACATTGTCAGTATTCAAACAAGAGGAATTGTGATCCTCTCAGAACATTCTTTTACCATATTTAGCAACGTGTCTTCCATTTTATGCAAGTTAAAAAGGAAATCAAAACAGTTCATAATAGTAGTTGAAAGTATACAGCTTAGTGGCATTTAAATAGACCAGCAGAGAGGGGTAGTGGTATTTAAAAGGGACCGCAAAGGGTTAATGACACCATATATGTACTGCACCTTCATATGTATATGCTGAAGGAAACTGATATTGTGTAATATGCATTTCTGCAACAGTGATTAATGCTTATTACGTGTATGGAATTTCAGGTGAATCAAAAAAGAATCTGTTCCTGCCATCTGTTGAGAATATGTTGAATTGTGTATTGGCAATGTTTCATTTCCACTGTGACCATGAACAAAGATAAAGAAAGACTTTATATTTTTCTTTTTTGCAAAGGTGTAGGATGCAGGTACAATTTCATTTCAGATATAAATAATTAAAATAACAATGGTTACACAATTGTAACAGTTGACTTTCACTATATTATGGTCTCAACACTACTTACCTTCTTGCTCACCGAAGTCCATGAACTTGAGGTTGTCAATAAGACCATGAATAAGGACCTGGTATTCCCCCTCTGCATTAGCCATGAGTAATCCGACATCTGCGTCTTGGTGCACCAGTCGATGTAGGAAGATAAGTCCCCTGCCCAGCACATGCCTGATGTCACGGAACAACCTATCATCTAAACAGAGGCAAGTGTGAAAATTCAGGTTTTTAAGCAAACATTCTACAATAAACTTAATTAATGTGTTCGCTTTTGTTTAAATGCTTCTTCTGTTGTGATGTAGTCATAACAACATTTGAATCATATTCAGGTGATCCCATGTACAAACCATGGCCTGGAGACAAATTACCAATATTTTTTGTAGTTATCCTGACATCCTTCAAACAAATGTCATGATAGTATTCTAAAACAGGTCAGAAATGCTTCCCTTACAAACTTCCAGAGTGATTATTCACAATCAACCTGTCTTCCATGATATTATCCAGTGGGTAAGAGGCTGAATGGTCCCAAGAACCAGTCAGTGACAAGAAAACTCCTCCCTGTACCAGAAATAAAATCCTGATCATCAGCCCATAACTTAGTCAATATACTGATTGAGCTATCAAAGCTCCAAAAATCCTGGGGCATAGCTGTGTAGTGGGTTACGACCACTTTTTTCCATATCAATCTCAACCCAGCATTATCAGCGTAATGCAGAAGAAGAAAGATCAGGGTCACATTGAAACAATTTTACAAATAAGAAAATTTAAGATTCATGAACTTGCAACAACCAAATGTTTATATACATTTAAAACAATGTCTTTCTTAGGTTAAGTATTCAGATTTTGATGGGTTATGGTACTTACAAACTACCAATGACAGGCAAAATGTATTCTTGACCTCTGACAGAATCTTGCCTTCTCTTCCCTTACCAGAAAACAATTCATTTATGTTATGTACTGTCCCGCGCCGTAGCCGCGCGGTCTGAGGCATCATGCTTCGGACCGGCGATACGAAATGCACTCTGGTTCGAGTCTCGGGGGAGAAGAAATTTTCTCATGAGCTTTCGACCAGTGTATGGGTCCGGTGCCAACCCAGCATCGTGAGGAAATTGGGGAGCTACAATGAGTAGCGTAATCTGGTCATGGAAACTAGCAATGGCTGGGGGTTCGTCGTGCTGACCACACGTCACCCTATATCTGGTTGGATGATCGTTCACCTCTACTTAGGCATGTGAACGTGAGGCCAGCAGTCAAGCTAATCGGCTTTGGCTCTCTGGAGCTGTTACGCCACGGATTTAATTTTTAATTAATTTAATGTTATGTACTACATAACTGAAGCCACAACTCACCCTGAAAGTTATTGTTCCTAATATGTGAGTAGCAGAGATGAAGGAGCATGATGGTAGCCTCTATGATACGTGCTCTACACTGGCAGTCACGCACCTCTGTCTCGGGGTCGCTGGAGCCAATCCAGTAGGGTCCCTCCTCCTGCTGTCTGGAAACACACACCAGCCACTTGATGACATTGCTTGCCAACACCACATATTGCTTGATACCGGCACGCTGGACAAGCAGGATCCAACACAGCAGGGCTATCATGCACGAGTCTGCAACATCAACATCCTACGTTGCTTTAGGCTATACCAGCACGCAATTTACGAACCACACATTTCACATTTCTGTTTTGTAAAACTCAACTATTATACAAACAAAGTATGTGACATTTATTATATAAAATCCTTTCACCTCACAAGTTTCATTTTTCCATTTCTCTCTCATATCTAGGCAACCACACAATGGTATTTTATAATGCATCAAGCGATCTTCGTAACTGTTTAATGTATAAAATGTTTGTTATGATGTGCTATAACGGTAATGAATATAAAAGCTGTGTTATGTTACATCCGTAGATTGTAATAATCTGAATTGTAAAGTTAAGCAAGAATGATTTAATGCCCGTTTTTTGCAGTCTGTTAATTGTCATGTGTCGATTAACAGGTTGGCACGAAGAGATATTACAGAAGACTGGAGCAATTTCGTTATTTCAGTTGATATAGTTTATTCTGTGAAAAACCTAGGTGAAGAACAAGCACTTTGAAATGATAACATTCTTTTTTGGTCAATGGAAACATTCATAAGATTTCCATCATAAACAATTTCATTTCAGTACAAACTATTTCAAGAAGAACCTAATCATTTTAACACCACTACACAGTCACACTTTTAAATGACAAATATAAATGGCTTTACTAAAGAAGAGTAAATTATCATCAAACAAACAGAAAACAAAACTGAAATTAAGTGAACTTACCTTTGCCAAAATATTCAACTTCTTCATTAGAACCGAGATCATACTGTGGTTTCCCTATAATGTGGAAGAGGCACACAAATTGAATGAAATGTTACTTACTCCAATGCACTACATTACAGGAAATTCCTGACAAGCAGACTGGCAACAAAATCATTCAACAGAAATATCACTAAGGTAAACTCAATTAGCCCTTTATATACATATAACCATTTAGATAAATATACATACTGACACATTTAGAACTGCAATTATAAAATTACATTCATTACTCACTACTTTCTATTAGGAAAATATTCCTTTTCGACATATGCCACTTTTTAAACGTGTGAGTGTGTAATTAAAGTTAATGAGTTAATGATTATAACTGAAAGCAGTACCTTTAACAAAATACACTACTCCAATTGTACCACCAAGATAGGGGGATGGACCTGCAACAAATAAGAACTATGTATTAAAGTGTGTTCCATTAGTATGATGTGACCCAGATACCAGGAGCACCAACATTCCAATCAGCGCACCACATCAGTGAAACTCAATACTGTCTTTCAGCTAGTTAATTTTCATGTCCTTTATGGAACCAGAAAATTCTCTGCCACGTTTAGAACAGCTGGTCATTGTCCCACATCCTGAGCCAAATTAAATCAGTCCACACCCTCTCATTCTTCTTCTTTTTCTGGTTTAAAAATGTTTGTACATTTTCTGGTACTCTTTACGGGTCCCCAACCTTTTAGTTGGCTTGATCTATGGACATTCAGTAGGACTCCTTGGATGAGGAATCGGCGCGTCACACAGCAGGACAGCACAACACAGAAAAACATCCATGGCTTGAGTGGGATTCGAACCCACGGTCCCTGCGACCAAGCGGCACAAGATCCACGCTCAGACCATGCGGCCACTGCGGACCCCACAATCTCATTCCGTATCTTTAAAATCCATTTCAATAGCATCCTCCCTGCCCAGGTACTCCAAGTGGTTTCTTCCCTTCAGTTTGTCTGGCCATAATTCTGTGTTCATTTCTCAACATTCCTAAGCAAGCTACATGCCCTAATCACCCAATCTGAATTAAAATTGTGTAACGGCTTCAGCTTTTGTAAAACTCGTCAATATAAAGAAAAATTCATTCAGCTGTTCTTAGGTTATTCTTTAGTGATAGGGTGATTTTAATTGGCACTCCAGTGGTTGCAAACATGTCAAAAATTATGCCACATAATAAAATAGTCAAAATAAATAAGAGAACTTATGCATTTAGGTTCTATTTCCCAGATTACAAAATAAGTCTTAAAATAAAATTATAATATAATATAATACAACAATCAATCAATCCTTTTCAGTGTTTCCTTAGCAACATTTATCAACTACACAAGAACAGCAAACTTTGAATATGGTTTTCACACAAGACTGTAGCAGAACATCAGCCGAAACAAGCCAAAGACAGAACCATTACACCAACGAGAAGGTCTACAGGCATGTTCAAACTATCTTCTTTTTCCATGAAGTCTTCATTGGAAATCAGATGTTACATGGCTAAATGCCCATTAAGACTTCATTGAATTTAGTTGCCATGAAAGCTATAGATCATACGTTATCATCTTTTTGTGTCTCTTTTCCTTCTTTGCCTAAATGCTTGTTCAGTTATGTTACTGTATGATCTGTGTTCCAAATGCTCTCTGATTCAGTCCTGTATTTTACTTAATTTTCCACTTAAACTAAAAATATTTTTTTCATTTCTTCTGTGATCTATTAATCTCTACCACGGAAGAGGTCTTATAAATTTAATTTCCATCTCCGTGTTCCCAACAGCAAATAGTAGAACAATACATACCAGTGCCACGACACAGTGTCTCCATTATGCTTCGGTACTCGCCGAGCGAGAACAGGAGATCAGTAAGTTCCATCAGCACATCCACAGATGGGCGGCATAATATCATCTCTCGCACTATCCTCGCCAAAACTGGACACCTGTAGCACAGAAACTCAATACAGGGAAACCCATTTGCATTAATGAAACCCTGACTTTATTAGAAATTTCTCTCGTTCTAACACAAAGTGAAAATTAATGTTAAATTACCTATAATGAATGGAAAGTGTCTAACATGAGAGGGATATTTCTAGACTTACTGAGCAACTATTAGATTTGCAACAGGGACCCTGTTCTATGCTGTTACAAACATGACTGCCACAAGAGGATGAAAATTAAACAAAATTAAAACAAAATAAGAGCAGAATATTCTAGCAGACTAATATAAGAGGGTTCTCAGGTTCAGCTTGGTGTGTTTTCACTGCAATTATAAGCTATTCACTACTCTTGAAAAAGAGAGAATATTAATTTTCCAATAATGTAAAAATTTAGTAACTGAACAACTATAAAATGAGGAGACAGTGTACCTATTAATGTAGCAATATCAACATTTTGTAAACAAGAGACCTCATGTCGCTCAATTATTGAAAAGCCTGTATTAGCACTCACCTGTCTTCCTTGAACTCAACTCTGCATGAGATGGCCCTTAAAAGACGCGTCACTCCAAGCAAAACGCCACTGAATTTCACCGACAATCTCTGGAACATAATTCAGACCAGAAATGATATTGTGATATGGCTAGGTGCCTTAACCTGGATTCCAGTTAAGTGTCCTTGGGGGAGAGAACTCAACAATAGCATAACTAAGAAGATATATTGGGATCCCAATTTAGTGTTCAACTTGCAGTCCCAGTCTAATTACCTGTGTTAATTCCCCCTTTATTCAACTTTTCTCTGCTCAGTATACACAGACACTATTCCTAGAGAAACATGAAATGTATCATGGGATATGAGTAAAACTGTGTAGACTAATCACTGCCATTAATGCAAAGGCCTTTAGTGATGACGGTGATAGCCCACATTTCTCACAACATGAATTCCTTGGATAAATAAGCACATACAATAACACACACACTGATCGTTTCTAACAAGGTACAAAAACCTGAAATAAGAGGATAATTTTCTGGTGTGAAACCAGACAATATTATGAGATATAAGGTTCTCATGGCAGTGAAAATGTCAATATGTACCGGCCTTCTGGGTAGTAATGCCATGTGGACTTGCAGGTATATACCATCTTCAGGGCTGAAGATGGAGAGAGTACATTTCTATGAAATGTTAGTATCTACCTAGAAGTCTGCATGGTATTATTACCTATAAAACCAGCACTGTACAATATCAGTTGAAAAGTATAAACTGTAAAGCCCGCCATTATGTAATTTTATACTTTCCTTCTCACTTTCACTCTCTTAGGTCCAAACATTCTCTTTGGCACCCTGTTTTCAAACAGCTTCAATATATGTTCTTCCCTTATGCTTATAACTTAGTACCACAGGCTAGTATCTCATGAAAAATAAGAGGAAACACAGACACCTTCCTAACCTCACAAATGAAGAGTGTAACTCACCTTATCACATATAAGTAGAACAATGTCATGCAGCGTCTCAAACAAGTCTATTGCCCTTGCTGTCTGCCCCTTCCTCGTACTTTGTGAACATGCCTTCTCCGAAGAAAGCTTCGTAATCCTGGCAACCTTCATCTTCTGATTCACCATAAGATCCATCACAACAGGGAATTTACTTTTTATTGCATTTATTTTATCAGCAGCCCAATATCTCCTGTTCCTTATATTATCTTTCCTTCTCCCAGCTTCCTTTGCGACTATCTTGTGTTTTGAAGCTTTAAGCTTTACTGGTAAAGGTTTCTTAAACATATTATCACCATCCTTGGTAGTTCCTGGTTGATCAATAGAAAAAAATTCTTCACTTCCATCTGATTCTTGCTCTTTGTTTGAAAACTTTTTCATTTCTTTTAACTCAACCTTCATTCTCAAAGCACTTTTTGATTGTGTAATTGAAACCAATTCATTGCTTGGGTCTGGGAAAGGTCCATCAAGTGTAAATTTTCTTGCTGGAACTTTCCTTGTAGCTGTATTCTGATCACAGTTCAGGTTGTGTCCAGACACAGCAGATGTACTTGGCATATACTGCTTTGATATCCAGCTTGGTCCAGGTTTTGTAACCAGAGAATTCTGCACAGAAATCAGATTCTGTGATGGAGATTCCTGACCAACCCATCTGAGTCTGGCCTCTGAAGCAGCTTTGCACCTTTCAAGATATTTCTTGTAAACCACTAAGGGATTCGGAGGTCTGCGCGAACCTTTAGAAGTCCTTGCAATAACAGGCTCATACAAAGTGGTCTTCTGCTCAAGTTCTGTTTCTTGCTCTGCTTCTATCCTCACCTTCTCACATTTTGCAGCTCGGATACTTGCTCTGGCTCGGCTGATCGCTTGGTTTGTGAGTATTCTTTGCTCGATGATCTCCCTCACTTTATTTGATATTGGTGCTTTTTTCAGTTTAGATGGATGCACTGTCTTACAAGGTTCAAGCCATTTTCTGTGAACAGGTTTAGCTTCAGAATGCCCTTTCTTTATAAGCTTTTTTTTAGTGACAAACTTCTTACACCGGATCATACCTGCATAAAAAAGGAACCCAGACACTTGGAGGTATCAATTAGTAAAACTTTGTCAGTACAGGTAGCCCTCGATTTACGCCAGGGACGTGTTCCTGGACAAACTGGCATAAATTGAAATTCTTTTATAATGTAAATAAATGGGAAGTCAATGACATGCGTTCCCAGCAACCAACACTGACTAGTAATATAATGGCAATATATTTAAAGCTCTGAAACAATGTAAATAAAACAGAGGGAATTTAAAAAATATATTTTATACACTTACAATCGGCAATTCGTTGGTCCTCGCGACTGACTGTGATTCTTTCATGTGATTGATGTGTACAGTCATCTCTGCTGTTATGTGATAGCTGCATTCAGGTAAAACACTGACCTATAGAAAATCGCGTAGTAAAAATAACCCCGGTACCTCCTCAGAGATTAAATTAGTCCTTTGAAAGTTTAAAGCGCCAGGAATGAAATTGCAGAAGAGCAAACTCGCATATGCAAAAGTTTGCACTTCACAAACAGCTCTTACCAATTCATCGATCTCATTGAAGCAAATTCGTGTTAACGAAACATACGTAATTGCAGAGATGACTGTACACATCAATCACATGAAAGAATCACAGTCAGTCGCGAGGACCAACGAATTGCCGATTGTAAGTGTATAAAATATATTTTTTTCACTTTTTGACTTTCTGGTTTCAAAATCGGTGTTATTCTGAATCAGCGCAAATTGGACCGGTGCAAATCGAGGGCTACCTGTAATACAATTTCATTTTGCACATTTTTAAAGTACTGGGATGGCACAACCACCACCACAAGTGGACTTGACAGGGCATCCAACACACATGGAAGTAATTATAAATGCATTTTGGTCAGTAAATCTGAAGGCAAAATAACAATGAAAGATGCATGCACTGTCAGAGGAATAATGAGAAAGCTGATCTTAAGACACAGAATGTGAGGGTTTGGATTATACTGAACTGCCCCAGGATAAGGTCAAAAAAGTGGAGGTATGTGAACATGGGTTACACAAAAGCAGGGAATTTCTTGACAAACTGAATAAGTATCAGAACCAGGTGTAGCATGGAGTTGATTCATTAGTGAGTTTGTTACCCACTCAACCATACCATGGTGTAGCTCATATCAAAGGGTGATAATAAGCACTTCATCCTACAGACATACCTGACATGTACTCAGCAGCATACTCAGACACCAATGCCAGTGCTCCCATCAGCCCCAGAGCTCTGCGGGTCTCCACCCCTTGCTCATTCTTGAACCATGGTCTGTAATACATGACAAACCAATCTTTACCTACGAGAAACAATAAGGAAACTTGAAATGCCAGTTTGGAAAAAAGCATAGTTCTTTTACAACTGCACTAAACACATACCTGGCCGTCATGATGCTAAGTTTGCCCCCACACAATGTTCCTGCAGCTGCCGATACCTTCAAGTCTTGCTCCTTAAGTTTATCTTTGTTCTCTGGAGGTTTGTGAAGCTCCAAAAGATCTCGCTGTTTAACCAGCATCAAGTAACACTGCCACACCACCTGTATTCAGGTAATGGATAAGGCGAGAGGCCAAATTTTGTTTGCTGAGAGGAAATGAGATTTCTCTGCCATCACGCTAACCTAAACCAGTTCCAATAGGCATTGACTATAAGGCCACCATACAGCACATCACGTAATTTTAGAACTCTTAATCAGAATGAAAACTAAAAACTAACAGGCATTTTTAATTGCAATTAAATAACTAAAATGGAATTAGTTGCGGACAAATATCGTTACATATCTTCTGACCTCAAACAGGAGTGAAAAGGAATTTTCCAAACTTGGTTGGCTCATCACTTATTTAACGATAATTTCTCAAATGCAGAAGTTATATTAATTCTACCCATTATGTTACATGGGTGCAAAACCTGATTTTATGCTCTAATGGAAGAACACATATTGTGGGTGTTCAAAAAAAATGTGACAAGAACATTCATACTAAAAGGAGTGGAAGTTACAAGAAATTGATGAAAATTACATAACAAGAAGTTTCATACCTTTTACTCTTCACTAAAATTAGGGGTCATAAATCAAGGAGGATGAGGAGGGCTGGACATGGGAGAAATGATATATGCATATAAATTTCCAATTGGAAAATCTTAATAAAATACATATTAACCTTCATTGATCTTATGCACACTCCAACTGGCCATGCATCATAGTACCATACCGCCAAACCATAGCCCTGGAGTTAAAGTACTGCTGAAAGGTACATAACGTGGGGTTTTAAATTCCCTGTTGCCATATGACATCATACAGTAAGTCAACATTATATATTTCATTGTATTTTATTCAATATAAACAACAAAACAAGCCTTAAATTAAAGTTATAGATAAAAATAGGATCTGTATTATATGAAACATACTCACTTCTTGCATTATGAGTCCTCCATTTCAGTTTAATACGAGATATTTGAGATTCATGTCACTGAACTGCTTTGAAAATGATGCATGTTTGACATATGTAAATATTATTAAGTGATAAAAGTGAACATATGTGATTTTTAAGAAAGCCAACATTATAAAATATGAATCACATAATATACCCATATGAAATGGAATTAAATGTTCCCAACAACTTTTTTGGTACAGTCTTACCATGCCAAATTCAAGTGAAATCCATCAACTGGTCTGGGAAATAAAACATGAGACAGACATGACATCTATTCTCTTTACACATTTCACACAAAGTTAAATTAACCACCTTCCTGAAAATTTTAACATCCTTATTCTGAGTAAAGTTCCATCTAAAGTCTAAGGCTGTAAAGTTACTGAGGATTCAATATACCTTTTGTATGAGTCGCTGTGCACTGTTTCCAGCCAAAGAGTCCATGAGTACCAGCTTGCTGATTGAGGTATGAGTCACATTAACTGTGGACCCTCGTGGTGTCAGGTTCTCGCCATATTCACCTGAAACAGCCAGCTATCAGGTTTAAAAACTGACATTAGTGAATACAGCGCCATCTGTAATCAATATCATTTTCATCTTCCTTCCTATATACCTGACCGGTTGTGGATACTACAAAATAAAATCTTTCCAGCGTTCCTCCCAAGCATCCACTTCCTTTTTAGTGTAACATTTTGCTAATATTATTACAGGTCATTCTTTCAACTTTCCAATTTCTTGCATCTTTTATAGACCCATTTAATCATAAACAACAAACATTTCAGAGAGCAATGACTTCCTGTACCAAGTACATATATGACACAAGAACGCACATTGTATTTTACACTTCTTTCTTTGTTCAGATGGTGGCCTTCTGGGTTGTAACACCATGTGGTCTTGTAGGTGTTTACTGAAATTTCAGGCAACCAAATTGCCTCCATCCTATCACAGAGGCAATATGTTCTACAACATCGCTGGTAATCACCCAAAAGATTATTTGGTGTTATTGTCAAGACAACAATCTGAACTGTACTGTCACAGAAACTTCAAATTCTACATTCCTTCTCTCTGTCCTCCTCCCCAATTTGTGATGTAGTCTTGCAACAGAAACGAATACAATGTCACCAGCATGGAAATAGAAACAAACACACATTCACACATTATGAAACTAAAATTCACAGGTGTATTAATGTGATACGAAACAAATATCTTGATGAAGAGTTCTGTCTTCTGGGTTGTTGCGCTGTGTAGTCTGGTTGATGTTAACCAACGTTCTGTCATCAGGGCGATGAATCGCCCTGATGACGGAGGCAGTATAACCTCTGAAATGTTGGTTAACATCGACCAGACTACACAGCGCAACAACCCAGAAGACAGAAATCTTCATACTCACCGCTGTGAAAACCTCAAATCTTACAAATATCTTGACACATGCATAATTTAAAAGGACTATAGCAATGGTGTGCAGTCCATACACAATTAGCCTGCATGTACTTTCATAGGTTTCAGATTCCATAAAAACAGGGAAAATCTTAAGAAACTTAATATACACTCTGCTAAAAAAATTCCCACAGTTAAGGAGCTGGTTACATGCTGTAGTAAGGAATTCCACTCACCAGATGACAGTGGTAGTTGCCTGATACCTAAACAGGAATTTTTTTCTGTGCCACGCACTGGCTTCTCAAAGAGAGCTGGTGTCACCAACCGAGACAGCATGGGGCCTGAAACAGATGAACTCAATTATAAGCAAATAAAAAAGAATGGATAATAAACAAAAACTTACAATATATACTTTCTTTT